TCGTATGAACAAAAGAAAAAACGAACGTCAAGGCGCTTCGTTGCCAAAAGTTCAACATACTTCATTATAATATCTTCGAAGGAAAGGAAGAGTGAGATTCAAGTCCCGTCTGAGCCGTAGTATATGGAAATTTGCAAATGGTGTTGAAACATAGAGTTCAGCAGCTGATAACATCCATTTTGTTTTCGTGTTTTGATAATCTCGTATATTTTGCTTTATGATGTACACCATGGTAAACTGAAACCTTAAACTCATTTTTCTCACGGATACATGTCCCAAAGTGCTTTCTACCAAACACCAAAAGCCGCGAGTCGTTATCTGTTTTTGATCAAGTGTTATTCGATAAAGATCGGCGACTACTCCATTGTAAAATTGATAGTTTCTAGAATTCTGGTTTATAATTGAAATTTTTCAGGTTTATTAGCATGTGACAAAAAAGGATAAGATACTTATTAATCACAAATCATACAGTGAAATAGGTTGATACTGTTAGGTGTGCTACACTTAGTAAGAGTTGTCACACACAAAGTTAAGTTAATATCTTGATGTCTCAGGTATCTTTGACCGACCTTGATTATGATAATCATTCTTCTTGACACACAGTTAAAGTGAATAGCAGTCATAGTACCTTGATATCCATGAGTGAATTTACGTTTGCACAGTATTGTTAAAGAACCGTTGGTCAGTGGATGAACTCATGGTAGATTCATATTTGTCTTTGTACTTTAGGCGTTCAATAAACAGTTTCATTTGCGTTTTGAGCTGGATTCAGCTGTCTCAGTTCTACTGCTTTTTGGAAATGTTCTAATGTGACTATATCATTATTTTCTATGGCGAATATTAGTCCAATGTTAAATTCACATACGGTCATTTCTGATTGATTATTTAGATGAGAAGCCATTTTTAAAGCATTTTCATAACTGCTTAATGCCAGTGCGTATTCACCAATACGATGGTAGATTGATCCCATGTTAATATTTGCTCGAACGATGTCTACATGAGACACATTACAATATTTTTGATTATATAACTTCAATAAATCTTTATAATAATTTAACGCCTTAGTGAAGTCAGTTGCTGCTGTAGACTGGAACTTTGCTGGGAAGATCAGATACTTGGGCCATCCGGCTTCGATCATCAGTATCATTTCTTGGGTGCTGATCACTATCACATGCTATAAATGAACTAGAGATTGTTGGATTAGTAAAAAGTACAGTGGTATTGTTCGAAGCTGTATTAAGGCTTAAATTCTCAAATTTTGATGTAACATCGGAAGTTGAATGTGTTCGTTTTTCAATTCGACATCGAGATCGCCCATTGTGCTTCTTTAATTTAAATTTCGACATTTCCGGTGTATAGTGCTATATCTAATGGACGAGGACATTGCTTATCACCGCCATTGGAATCTGCCCCGCATTCATCAATTAGATGATTTGTTAAAGCAACGTTATTTCGTGTAAGATGTTTCGCACAAAGGACATCCTCTGGGAAGCGAGAAGAAGGGTTTGCAATTACATAACACTTGAGCATGAAGGTACAGAGTGAGAAAGAGAAAACGAGTAAATGTAGAAGAGCCGTTGCAGTAATAAAATGAGCAGAAAAAAAGAAAAACTTTCTATCAGATAAAATGAAAATATAAGAGTTTTCCTTTCGTAATGGCGATAATTTCAGTAAAAAAATAAGCGTTACTTGCCATTTATAATTGAATAAAATAAATATTTAATTAAAATGAGCACAAATATAAATTTTATTCAATTACAAATGGCATATCTAGTGGCCGCTGTTGTTCTTAGTTTTTTACTGAAAACAGAGATTAGATTTCGATCGACATGAAAGTCGCATAACTCTGCTACCGAAGTGGCAGTGCGTTACCATTTTTCATCCTTTTGTTTAGCTTATAATATTCGGAGAGAATATGACAGAATCTTGGAAAACGTGTTGTTTCGTAGAACATAGTGTGCTCTTCAACATATAGTCTTTGTTAAATTCGAAATAATCAATTAGTTTTTGTGTTATATTTAAAATACAAAGAATCCCAAAAACTCTTTAATTCTTTTAATGACTTTTGGTATTTCGATTGTGGTTGAAAAACGTATGATTATTTCGAATTCAACCATGGCTATATTTTGGAGAGCACACTTTGTTATAATGTATTATACTTTTTTCTGATATATCCGATAAAATCCACATCTTTCGAATTTTTTACACCCTCCTATAAAGAAAAGTCCGGAGATGTACGTAAATAATTTATGCAAATCTTTGCTTTAGTAGGATCTAAAACTCTACAGTATTTGTCAGATCGAGTGCATCAGTTGTTTCTGTACTATCAATTTAAATTCAGATAAAAGGAGTAGTAACATTAAAATCAGCTTTTAACCCTCATTGCTTTTCATTCCTTTTAAATGAAATATGAAATAGTTCGACTTTAAAATCGCGTAACTCTGCTACCGGAGTGGTAGCACGTTATCGTTTTTCACCCTTTTGTTTATCTTATAATATTCGGAGAAAATACGATAGAATCTTGGAAAACGTGTTGTTTTGTAGAACAAAGTGTGTGAACATATAGTTCTGGTTGAATTCGGAATAGTCAGACATTTTTCAGCCACAATCGAACTACTCAAAAGTTCTTAAAAAAATTATATCATAAAAACAATTTTTCTCTTTCGCTTCTCTCTTCTTCACGTGACGCTAGACAATTACATATACGTTAACTATCGATAGAGTCAGCAATATTAGAAAGCCTTGCCCACCACGGACTTCTACATCATAATATATATATTATATCAAACAATTTGGGAAAAATTCAGACAACTTTTTTTATAATTCTGCGAGAAGGATTCGACTAGTGTCACTTGTAAATCAAAAGATGACGTAAGGGCACCTCCATCTTTTTTGAAAAAAATTTCGGATTTTGAGCTAAGCATAGCCTGATGTAGAGGAAAGTGTGGACTACGAAATGAGACCACTCCCAGTATGCCACGATCTTCCTTCAAAAGCTATGCAGTTTTGAAGTTTTTCCTTCAGAGCCTAAATGTTTTAGTCTCATAAACTTTTCTCTCCTTTTCTGTACATTCAACGTTTTTCTTACCCATAGTCTGATAAAAGAAAGTGTTTTCTTCGCAATAAGACGTTTTCCAAAGTTTTCTGATGAGTTTTCGTGGGATATAAGCATCACAGCAAACGCCCTGAAAAAAGTTGCCTATGTACAAAATGCGTTTTTTCTCGAAAATTACTTTTTCCTACCGAGCTTCATTGTGTCACATTACGACCCCCCTTAAATTTCATCCGATGGATTTAAAATTTTTTCTAGAGGTACACAAGGTCATAGCGCAGAGGTTTAATTTTGGAAGTTTTTTTTAGACCTTTCTTTACCGAGCTATAAGGTTTCTAAATTTGAATAACTTGATTTTTGAGACGTTTTTCAGTATCTTTCCTATAACTCGATCAGGAAAGGTCTTAAAAAATTTCCAAAAATCTACCTCTGCGCTATGACCTTGAGAGCCTCTGACAAAATTTTTAACTCGATCGGATGAAACCTAAGAGGGGTCGTAATGCGGTCCAGTGAAAAACCGAGTTTTTTGGAAAACTGGTGAACGGCAATAAACTTGAAACAAAAACGAAAAAGTGCTCCATTGAGTTTTCAATCAGTTCTCAAATATGAAGTCTTGGTGAGTTTTAGTTTTTATTTCGCAGCATTTCTATGGAAAGCCTAAAATGAGGGTAGAGGTGCCCTTAAATATGACTGAGCATTTGTTGCGCTATCCTACTTCTACTTACATTACTTTTCATCTTGTCTTTCAATTTCCATAGGACGTAAGAAAGGGAGATAGACGAGTAAAGAAAAAAGATCTTAATCTTTACAAAAATGTACAAAACAAGTCAAATAGTAAATGTAATGCAAAAAGAGCCCTAAGTACGTTAGTCAAGCCCCTTGAATCATACATCAAAAGAACCACTGCCTCAAGGGCTACAAAGTTATATGTTTAGATTTCTTCACTTCATCTCTTTTGCGGAGAAAATTAACTTTCTTTTTTGCCATAGGTGATATTCATGTATCACTCACGTGATACATGAATATCGCCAACTATCCCGTTTTGTTGTATTTTTAATTCTCTATTTAACCACGTTTGAATCAAGTCTCTATCATTTACCCTTGCCGAGTTGTATCAAATTTAAAAAAAGTTAAATATTTGAAATTTTATAAATTTAATTTTGAGTAAGGGACTCGATTTTTTTTCAAAATGTTCAAAATTCGATGCTGAATCCGAATATGCGCTTCAAAAGCTTTTTGAGTCGTATGGATTTTCTCAAAACTCATTTTAATCAGTTCTGGTAGGTCAAAAACCTCGGTTTTCTAGAAACCCTATTTCCAAGGATTTTGGAGAAAAGTTTCTAGAGAGTAAAAGAAAGAAGACGTTAAGAAACCCTTAAGACCTGAGTTTCAATCGATTTTGTGTGGTGGTTGCTGAGATAAGATTCTGATGTAACACGCCTGTTGAGAGCATTTTTTAAACGACACGAACATCGAGCGATATACTGTTTCCGGGAAAGAAAGGAAAAGGGTGAAATCAAAATTTTCCAACAGAAACACTGACTGAATACCGCCAAAAATTGCGCAATTTCGTCAACAACAGTGTGTACATATACAGCTGATCAGTGAAGGAAGATTAACAGAATGACCATGCCACTATTAATCTCTTCCTTTCTCTTATTCCTTTTTCGAAAATATAAACGATAGAGTACAATGACATCATCAACATAGTTACTACGTAGTTTGAATCACGTATATTAGTCTGTCTTTTTTTCCTGCTCTCTTTCACTCTCGTACTAATAACTTTTACTTTTTTTCTAAGTTGGAAAAAACAGCATATACGCACAACCTTGAAGCAGAACCTGAGAAAGAAAAGAATAAACACTACAAGCATAAGTATAAATACTATTCAGTTACAACAGAACAGTTGCGTCTACTCTCATTACTTCTTCGTCCCTCAGTAAATTCAATGGAAGGAAGTAAAAAGTTATCGTTATGGAGAAAGCGGAAAGCTGTTTTCACTGTAATAGCTGTATTAAAACGATTAAAAAGAAGCCGTCTGCCGGCAGATACGAAAGGTAATCTGGCAGTTTCCTCCTCTTACTCCGAACATCATCATTTGGAAACATATCAACTTCTATGGCTTACCGATGATGAAAATGTTGTTGTTGTTGCTCAATCAGCGCAATCACAGCAGCAATCTTTTAACTTAAAACAAAGACTTCGACATATAATACATGAAGTGAAATTATTTAACTATAGTCAAGAGTGCGAAGAGTATATTCAAACTTTATCGTCGTCATTGGAAAATAAAGATGAGCAAAAGATAGTTTTGCTTTTAACAGAGAAATTCAGTTGTACAACTTTGATAGAACGACTGCACAATCTACGTCAAATAAGTGCATTCTATATCTACAATTGTTTGAATGTCGTTTCCGGCCGTGGGCAAACAAAAAACGAATGGTTCGATCAATATCAGAAAGTAATATTTCTTTCCTTCTCAATCATACGTGCGCTGCTGCTCTTACCGCGTGAACTCTGCTCTGTTTCTCTAGGTAAAAGGTGTGTTTGCAAAGTCAGAAGAAAACCAATTAGTTAATCAATTGAAAGTTGACCAATGTCTACGTGAGAAAATTGATCTTGATTCAATTGGTATAACTGTTTACAATCGCAGCAGTCAGTGTGATGGTACTGAACTTGAACAGAGAAATGCAATGTTTATGTACTTACAATTGTTTCATGAGATTATACTTCGTGTTAGATCATCAAATCCACAGCAATTAAAGAATGATCTCGTTAACTTTCTCAAAGAAAGATACAACGATAACGAAGAACAGTTAGCAATTATTAATGAGTTTGAAGTGAATTATGAACCGAAGAAAGCTATTTGGTGTTACACAAGAGAATCTTGCCTCTATCGTATTTTAAATAAAGCCTTACGTTCACTTGACTTCACTGTCCTCTTACCCTTTCGTTTCTTCATCGTCGACCTACACAAGCAACTGACCTTCGAACATGAACAACAACAACAACAGCAGCAGAACCTTCGTCTACTCTACCGCGGACAATCAATTAAAATTGAAGAATTAACTTTATTACGTGAAAATATAGATAAACTTATCGGTTTCAATAGTTTTCTATCTACAACAACAAATCGTAGAACAGCAAAGTTCTATGCTGAAGCAAGTACAATGATAGCCGAGGATCTCTATCGTATTCTCTTTGAATTTGAGATTGATAGTAGCAACCAACAGAAAAAGAAGTTTTTCAAGCCATTTGCTAACATTACACATTTAAGTCACTTTCATGACGTAGAAGATGAAGTTTTAATCTCTCTAGGAAGTATCTTTCAAATTAAACACGTAGAATTTGATGACAGACACTCGATGTGGCTAGCAAAATTAAAATTCTGTTCTGATGATGACTATGCACTGAAGGAAGTACTTGACTATGAAAAACAGAGATTACCAAAGACATCAACGACTCTCTTTAGTTTGCTGCGAATGTTAATTAATATGGGTGAATATCAGAAGGCAAAAGCAATCTGTAAACAGTTGTTTAATGAATCATTGGAGAATAATGATGATATTCAAGAAGAAAATTGTTACTTTTATTTTGGTGAAATTACACGTTTGGAAGGTGGTTATGACGGCAGTTACGATGTATCATTGGAAAACTATTTAAAATGTCTTGAAATGGAGAAGAAAGAACAAGATCAAGCAGCTAAAACATCTAAGAAGAATAACGACGAATGGGTTGCAATGCTCTGTTCGTCAATAGCAGAAGTTTACTTTAGAAAAAAACAGTATGATCTATCGTTAGACTATTTAAAGCAAGCGTTAACTCTGCTTCCCGAACAACATCGTTGTCGTGCACGTATCTATTTAGTAATGGCTGATGTTTATATGGAAAAAAGTGAGTATAACCTTAGTTTAACACTTCAAAGTAAAGCCCTCGAAATACAAAGAGAAAACGCACCAAAAGAACATAGTGATATTGGACGAACTTATAATAATATGGGTTTTGTTCATGAAAATAAAGAAAATTATGAGCTAGCCCTAAAGTACTATCAAGAATCATTGAGAATTAAGAGAAAGACATTACCATCTGATCATGTCTATATTAAAAATACTGAAAACAATGTACGACGTGTACGCGAATTGATGGGACACAATAATCAATCACCATCACTGCCGGGTGAAGACAAGAAGTAGAAGAGTAATAACCCATGAGGACAAATAGCGAGCGACTTTTCCGTGATGTACATAGTAATTCTGATAAAAATAGTACCGTTTATGTTCAAAAATTTGACCAGAAGAAAAAGCAGAGGTTTGGGCAATTGAATATCGATGTCGATAGTGGGTACCTAGTATAGATATTTATCAAAACAAGACGGTGTACGTGTATGTATACACTGTCTTGTTTTGGTAAATATCCGAATAATACTCTAACTCCTTCTCTACTAGAGTTACATTTTTAAAAGAAGCGAGGAAGAACAGAAAAAAAAGCCTCAGAGTACAGAATCAATAACTGTGTTCCGAAAGCAGAGCACAACGTTTTTGACTTACGACGACATCAGTAAGAGCTAACTCTACAGAAAGTTCTGAGACTACTGGACATTTGCTTAGTCAACAGTATACAGTACTAGACCAGTCCATTAATTATCATACCTTTGCAGAGCCGCAGTAGAGAACGCTCCATCTAAAATGAGTCGTCGCTCATTATCTGACAGAGTTAGACTCATTCTACGAGAAGTCCGCTTTTTTCTGCACTTTCCTTCATGAAACTCGCCTCCTCAAGCTTGGCATACTTCACAGCATGGTCCAAATCGCCTTCAAACCCTCTAAAATTCTCTTAACAACTGCATAATTCAGAACTCACTCACATTTCGTAGTTTTTCTTTTCTTAACTTAAACTTTAAACTCAGTTTCAAGAATGTTCGTTCTCGATATTTCCTTTGATTTATTATTTCTCCTTTTTCCTCTTACCGTTCTCTATCTCTTTCGTCTTCGTCTTTTGTCTTTCTGTTGTGATCGTATTGTTCTTCGTCAAAATAAACGTAAAGTCAGAAAACGTCCAAATCGTGTAATTCTTATAAGACATGGTGAAAGTGAAGGAAATGTTGATCCAGATATTTATGCACATAAACCAGATAATCAAATTGGCTTAACAGAGGAAGGAAAACAACTCACTTTTATTATCTTCATGAAAATCAGGATCTTCATCGATAATAAATTTTGTTTCATCCAACTCTTCTGGTGATAATTCACCCATCGTGAGGATCAATATTGTCATCGTCTCCATCGGATTTTTTTAAATCAATTCAAGACAAATGAAAATTATGATCACCATTATTGTTACACAATCTGAAAATTGATCGCCAAATCGACGTTTTTTATGGTATTGAAATTGGGAAAACAGCTGAAAGAGTTGGTTGGAAATCAACAAGTATTGATCTATATTAGTCCATTCTTAAGATCAAAACAGGCAGCAGAGTATCTGACAAGAGAATCGGGAAAGAAGCAGGTATTGAGAATTAGAGAAGATCCAAGAATAAGTGAACGACTTTGTAATTCCTTGCCAAGTGCCGCTTTGGAAGTTCAGTAAACTTAAAATAATTCAGTTCTTTTTCAAAGGGAGAAAAAATGAACAGCTTCATGATTCTCTGATCAGTCGAAAATCCGCTTTATTCTCGCTGGACAAAACCGAAATTCTTCCGGAGAACCAACTACGAATCTGCTTTCTTTTGAGCAAAAACCCTGTAATTTCCGCAATTTCATTGTACAATCTCAATTATTGCACAGAATATAGGAAAGAACAGGGAATTTGATTTTTGCAGTTAGACTACAAAAATTAAGCTCGTGTGTTAGAACATATCTTCGTGCGAAATTGATTTTATGTCTTGAAAGTTTAAGAAAACAATAGGAATTTATATTCTCGCTTTCGTTCTGGTTCTACAAACAAGCCTAAAACAAGTCTCCAAAATTTTTTACTTAAAGAAAAGGGTCTCCAATGATGGATAGAGAAAAGGCATAACTTGTAAAAAGATATTATTGGTTTTAGAGGGTCTAAATCGGTTCGCTCTGTTGAAAAAGCAATGAATAAAATATTTTAACCGTCGATATCTCTTGGGTGTACCATGCAAAGTTTGGTTGCACTGGCTCTTACAGGGAGCAAATGCATAAAGAACAAACAAACAAACTTTCTTCTTTAGGGAAGCCGTCAAAACTATGAACGAATCAATCGGATCAAACGAATCATTCGGATCATTCGGATCATTCGAATCATTCGGATCATTCGTAGAATAATGTAAAGCGCTCCTCTGTGATGTTTGTATAA